AGGTTAGATAGCCTATTAGGAATTTTTTTTGCTTCTTGAGGTAGGCCTGTAGTGCTATGAACTTCCCTCTCAAAACTGCTTTCGCTGCATCCCATAGATTTTGTGTTGTTGTGTGTTCATTTTCATTGGTTTCCAGGAAGTTTTTAATTTCTTCCTTGATCTCCATGGTAACCCATTCATTGTTCAATAACATGCTATTTAGCCTCCATGTTTTCAAATGTCTTTGCATGTTCTTGTTGCAATTGATTTCTAGTTTCATGCCATTGTGATCTGAGAAGATGCTTGATATGATTTCAATCTTCTTTAACTTGTAGAGACTTAGTTTGTGCCCTAACATGTGGTCTATCTTTGAGAATGTCCCATGTGCACTTGAGCTCGAGAGGGCACTGGGACCTGAACTTGCTGCTTTCTCTGGGCAATACTGGCATTTCTTTGGCTGGGGTAGTCCTGGAACTGCACGACATTAAAAAATGTAGTTGTTTATAAACATTTTTATTTTCCAGAAATAGGCTACATGCAAAAAAAAAAAAAAAAAAGTAGCTCTAAACTATTGAGAATTGATTGGTGAAAAAGACTGAAATGCAGATATTTCTCCAATTTTAGATACTCAATACTTGCATGTTATGTTCTTCTATTCTCAGTACACTTGGGTTGCAATCAAACTATCTGGACTGAATGGATGATTTTGTGACTATTGTGTGAAACTATTTAACCCCAAAATTTTTTCCTTCTATTTTCTTTTTTGCCACTCAGAGGAGTAAAATACACGTGAACTACGTTGTACACCCCTCTGCCCCATTTTTTTTTTTTTTTTGCCATCACAATTAATAAGTTTTACTAGGTTTCTTTTTTGTTTTCTTTTGTTAATCCTCACCCAAGGATATTATTCCATCGATTTTTAGATAGAGTGGAAGGGAGGGAGGAAGAGAGAGACTCAATGTGAGACACACATCGATTGATTGCCTCCTGCATGACCCTGACTGGGCCAGGGATCAAACGCAGGTATGTGCCTTTGACTGGAATCAAACCCATGACCCTTCAGTCCTCAGGCCAAGGCTCTAACCACCAAGCTCTAGGTTTCTTATTTTTATCTCTTTTCTTCCTCTTCCGTACTCTCCTTTTCTTCCAGTTCTGGCATTTTTTTTTTTTTGTGGTTCCGATGTAAGCAACACTTGAGTTAGTTATTATATACCAGGCATTGTGCTGGATGCTCTAATAAATATCTTACCTGATGCTTTCATCAATTCTGCAAGGTATGATGAAATTTTGCAAGATGATGATGAAATGAAAGGTTTAGGAATATCATTGAGTTTTCCATTCTCTGTTCTCCTTTTGTATTTGAAATCTTTCATTGCTCAATTTGAACCCCTAAAGTTGCTAAATGTAAGACTACCTTGAAAATATACTTCCATCAAAGAAAAGGGAAGTCATATGTTGCTGAAGTAATAAAGAATCAATGTCGTTATTCATCATATATTTTGAAAGAACCCAGAAAAAGCCATCATTGGTTGTGCAAAATTTTCTTACTCTCCTTTTTTAGGATGGGTGGGGAGGAGTGTTTGGGGGAGACATATAAATGAGTAACTATATACTTAGTTCTCCAGGATTGTTTATTACTTTATTTTTTCTAAACTTTTCAAATATAATCTCAATAAATTGAGGGCTTTTTGGGCTGAAACAGAAGCATAAGTGAACTTAATACAATAATTTTATAAAGCAATAGTACTTTTTTTCTGAAATTAATTATTTCCCAGTTTGTTTGTTTGTTTGTTTTGTAATGAGTTAGTGGTGGGTAAAAAGATGTAGATAAAATTTTTGATTTTGCAAATCAGATTTAAAAATAGGCAAAGGGCCCTGGTTGGTTTGGCTCAGCAGTTAGAGTGTTGGCCCTTGGACCAAAGGGTCTCGGGTTTGATTCCCAGTCAAGGCCATGTACCTGGGTTGCAGGTTCGATCCCTCGCCCCAGTTGGGGTTGTGTGTGAGGCATCCAATCCATGTGTTTCTCTCATATTGATCTTTCATTCTATCTCTTTCTCCTTCCCTTGCACTCTATCTGAAAATCAATGGAAAAATAGCCTCAGGTGAGGATTAACAAAACAAAACAAAAAATAGACAAAGGGCTTAAATAGACATTTTTTTAAAAAACACATAAATGGCCAACAGATACATCAAAAGATGCTCAGCATCACTAATCATCAGGGAAATACAAATCAAAACCACAGTGAGATATCACCTCACACTTGTTAGAATGGTCATTATCAAAGACAAGAGACAAGTGTTGGTGAGATTGTGGAACGAAATGGAAATGGTGCAGCCACTATGAAAAACATAATGGTGCAGCCATTATGGAAGTTCCTCAAAAAATTAAAAATAGAACTATCGCCCTGGCTAGTGTGGTTTGGTTGGTTGAGTGTCATCCTATGCACCAAAGGGTTACTAGTTCCGTTGCTGGTCAGGGCAGATACCCAGATTTCAGGTTCGATCCCTGGTTGGGTGTGTGCGGGAGGCAACCCATGAACATTTATCTTCCTCTCCCCCTTCCTATCTCTCTAAAATCAATAAAAAAAAATATTTAAAAAAAAATGACACTACCATATGACCCAGAAATCCCACTTTTAGGTATATACCTGAAGGAAATGAAGTCATTATCTCAAAAGAGATACCTGACCTGCACCCCATGTTCATTGCATTATTTGCAATAGCTGAAACATAGAATGACCTAAGTGTCCATTGACAGACAAATGGATAAAGAAAATGGATATAGCCCTGGCTGGTTTGGCTCAGCAGTTAGAGCATCAGCCTGCGGACCAATGAATCATGGGTTTGGTTCCAGTCAAGAGCGTGTACCTTGGTTGCGATTCGTCCGCAGCCCTGGTTGGGGTCATGTGGGAGATGACCACTCAATGTGTCCCTTTTATGTCTATGTTTCTCTCACTCTCTCTCTCTCTCTCTCTCTCTTCTTCTCTCTCCCTCCCACTCTACCTTAACAAAAATGGAAAAATGTTCTCTAGTGAGAATTAAAAAAAAAGAAAATGGATATAGCAAAGTTTTATCTATGAATAGTATTTATCCATAAAAAAAGAAAGAAATCTTGCTTTTTGCAACATGGATGAACCTTGAGTGCATTATGCTAAGTGAAATAAGTCAGACAGATAGAAATAAATACTGTATGTTTTTACTTATATGTGGAATCTAAAAAAGTTGAACTCAAGCCCTGGCCGGTTTGGCTTAGCATTTGGAGTATTGGCCCGTGGACCAGTGAGTCGAGGGTTCAATTCTGGTCAAGGGCACGTACCTCTGTTGCAGTTAGGTCCCAGGCCTTGGTTAGGATCGTGTGGGAGGCAAACCAATCAATGTAGCTCTATCACATTGATGTTTCTCTGTCTCTCTCTCTCTCTCTCTCTCTCTCTCTCTCTCTCTCCCTTCCTCCCGCTCTTGGGTGAGGAATAAAAAATAAATAAATAAATAAATAAAATTTAAAAATTAAATAGTTGAACTCAGAAATATAGAGTAGAATGGTGGTTTTCTAGGGTGAGGGGTGAGGAAAAATGGGGAAATGTTTGTCAAAGGATACAAACTTCCAGCTATAAGATGAATAAGTTCTGGGGATCTAGTGTACAGTATGGTAATTATAAATAACAGTACTGTATTTTATACACTTGAAAATTGTTAGAGAGAGTAAAACTTAAACATGATCATCACAAAAAATGGTAATTATGTGAGGGGATAAAGGTGTTAACTTTTTTTTTTTATCCTCACCTGAGCACATTTTTACATGTATCTTCAGATAGAGCGAGAGGAAGAGAGGGGGGAAGAGAGAAAGGGAAACACGGATGTGAGAGAGACACAATGACTGGCTGCCTCCCGCACGACCCCAACCAGGGCCGGGTTTGGAACCACAACTGAGGTAGTGCCCTTAGTGGAAACCAAACCCGGGTCTCTCTGGTCCCCAGGCTGTCGCTCTAACCACTGAGTCAAACCAGCCAGGGCAACTTTTTTTTTTTTTTTTTAATATGTCTTTATTGATTTTTTTCTGAGAGAGAGAGAGAGAGAGAGAGAGAGAGCAAGAAACATCGAAGTGAGAGAGATACATCCATTGGCTGCCTCCTGCACGCCCCCTACTGGGGAAGGAGCCCACAACCTGGGCATGTGCCCTGACTGGGAATTGAACTGGGACCTCTCAGTCCATGGATGCTGGAGCTACTGAGCCACACCAGCTGGGCGGTGTTAACTAACCTTAATGTGGTAATCATTTCACTATACGTGTATCAAATCACCATGTTGTACATCTTAAACTTACATACAGGGTGGTGCAAAAGTAGGTTTACACTTGTTAGTACACAATACAGTTTATTCTCATATTATTACTTATTATTGTATTGTTTTCCATACAAACAGCTGTACACCTACTTTTGTCGTACCCTGTATGTTATATATCAGTATCTCAACGAAGCTGGAAAAAAAAGAATATATGCTGAATTACCAAAGGCAATAAATTATACCAGTTTTCTTTATGTAATTAACATTATTAAATTTGTAAGTATTCTATGAATTTAAACTGTTATTAGTATCCTATTATTATTTGAGTTTTAATTACTGTAATACCTTTACAATCTATTACTGAATTGATCAAAGATGCTGCCTAACCCTTTGGAAAAAAACAACAACATGTATTTGCATATATTATAAGACACTCTAAAAGCCACACATTCATTTTTATATAAAATCTTTTTTTTCAATTTTATATTTTTTAATTGTGCTCTTTCAGTAACAGTTGATATACAATATTAGTTTCAGGTGTACAACATAGTGATTAGAAATTTATATAACTTACAGAGTGATCACCTGGATAAGTCCCATCTGACACTGTACACAGTTATTACATTATTGACTGTATTCCCTATTCTGTACTCTATATCCCCACGATTGTTTTTATTACTGGCAATTTGTACATCTTACTCCCTTCTCTCTTTCACCCTCAGCTTTATTTTTGTTCCCAGGTTTTGCAAATCGTTTTTCAAAACCCAAAGGACCAAGAAAGCCACCATCACACTGGAACACTTAACACAATTTTGGACTATAGACCTCAAGTGCACCTGCAAAAAAAATTACCAGAATATGGCTGGCTAAAATAAGTGCTCTATAATCATAATGGTAATGTGGTAACAGCTTTTGAAAGAAAAGCAATAGGCAAATAAGTACCAGAAGTTTTACATTTAATCTCATTTACATTGGGCTGGGAACAGCAGAAAAAGAGTTTGTCACTTCAGCTTATATTGAGAATGCTGTAGAAGAAAGAGTTTAGGAATGGACTTTTCATTTTTGGAAATTATTTTTTATTTGACTTTACTTTCTACATAAATATAAACTTTAAAAGATTTGTAAGAATTGGATCTCAATTAAATGTTGAATTTACTATAAAAAGTGTTTTTAAAAATCTAACCTTGTGGTTGCAATACAAAATTACTGCTTGTGACAATGACTATTCCCTGGGAGTTATTTTTGTTTAAATGGAGCATACCTCGAACATCTTCCCAAATGTTGTGGGAAACTAGAATAGTAAGAAAAGAAGTTATGCTTGGCCAGTGTGGATCAGTGTTTGAGCTTCAACCCATGCACCAAGAGGTCACCAGTTGGATTCCTGGTCAGGGCACATGCTCAGGTTGTGGGCTGGATCCCCATAGCAAGGTGTGCAGGAGGCGGCCAATCGATGTTCTCTCTCACATGGATGTTTCTATGTCTCTCTCCCTCTCCCTTCCCCTCTCTCTAAAAATTAGTAAAGAAAAAATATTTTTAAAAAGAAGTTATATTTAAGAGAATAAAATATGTAAATAATTACTGTAATCTTTTTATTTGTACATATCAACTAATATATTCAATTACATTCTTGATAAGTTTTAACCAAAGTTACTCCACTACCAAATCTATAAGGATAATCAACAAAATAGCTGTCTTTTGGTAGCATTTTCTTCATTTCAAAGGTTCTGTGTAAACATATGCAGCTTTTATCCAACCAATCAGAGGCACTACCAGTTTTAAATTTTTTCTATATAGATATGGATCTGACATTTTAAGAATATATGATCTTTCAAATCTAATTTTATGTAACAAATAAGTAAATGGGTAATTATTAAAAAGGATTCTCCAGACTTCTTTGAAAATTTTTTTTAATTTTAAAAAGTCTTTAACTTCTAGAAGCATGAAATACTTAAAGACCATTTGTTTTTCAATATTTTTCATTGGGAAGCCAAATGAAGGTGGAAATTGGATGAAATATTGTTACCTGTTTATTGTAGTACATTGTACACAATAGGTGCTCAATAAACTTGTTTTTAAACTAACACTGGAGTGTTCCTTTAGCTGAATACTTCTCCAGGCACGACTGGTATCAAACCACAGTGCTTCATCGTAATCAATTATTCCCAAATCTCTTTATCAAGGACCAACTGTATTAAAAGAATCTGAGGTAAAATCTGAAGTGACGGTGAAATTGTCAATGAATTTCCGAGCGGAAGGCTTCAACACGGGCGATTTGGGGCGTGTTCTGTGGTAGGCACACCTCAAATTTATGCAGCCTTATACTTACGATTTGAAAAACCTTAAAAAAAATTTAAAACACGTTTTTCCATCTAGAATTTTCCCCTCACTGGAGGAATGTATTCAGAATAATGACAGACTCCACCTTCACAGGCAGTGGAGGGGCGAGCGACGGCGGCGCGGTGGGCGGCGCTCAGCCGGCTCCCCGAGGTTCCTGCACCTGCCTCGCTGCGAGAGCTGTCACCATGGCAATGCCCGCGAGAGGGTCAAAACATTTCTGAATTGCAGCCCTATTAGATTTTAAAGCAAAATCGCCCTCATTTGACACAGTACTGGGTTCCCCTTTCCTCTTCCATCTCATCGCTTGTTCAAGAATAAAAGGCCGGAGATTCTTTTACCTCACAAAGGTTAAGAGAGAAATAGGAAATTTAAGAGTAACTATGGAGACCAGCTACTCCGCGTAAAACGACGGAGGGGCACAAGAACGCGCCGCCAGACTCGGAAAGCTATTAACATTGTTTGGGCCGTTAAGGCGGTTGGCGGCAACTCTCCGCCCAGCGGCGGTTGCGTCGCAGCCCGAAGCGTGACTCGGCGCACGCTCGCTATCCGCTCCTCCGCCCCCGCAGCCAGGGGGGCGGTGCGGAGCTCGGAGGAACTACCGCTCCCATGAGGCTCTGCGCGGCCCAGGGTGCTTTACAATGAGCTCGGGAGGGGAGGCCTGCGGAGAGGCGCTGGGAACGGCCGCTTCCGGCATGTTCAGCTCTGGACCAAGTACCTCCGAGAAGCTCAGGGCGGCGGAGGGACTCCAATACCCAGCGAGCCGTGCGCGGGCGACGCTTGCGCGATACACGGACGGGGGGGCGGTCGGGCCATTTAAATGTGTGTTTGTGGGTGAAATGGCTGCGCAGGTCGGAGCGGTGCGCGTAGTACGGGCGGTGGCGGCGCAGGAGGAGCCGGACAAAGAGGGGAAGGAGAAGCCCCATGCTGGGGTCTCGCCGCGGGGAGTGAAGCGGCAGCGCCGAGCGAGCAGTGGGGGATCTCAGGAGAAGCGGGGGCGGCCGAGCCAGGACCCCCCTCTCGCTCCCCCTCATCGGCGGCGTCGCAGCCGCCAACATCCCGGGCCGCTGCCGCCAACGAATGCAGCCCCAACCCTCCCAGGCCCTGTTGAACCTCTGCTCCTGCCGCCTCCGCCGCCACCTTCGCTGGCACCCGCCGGGCCCGCTGTCGCCGCCCCGCTCTCAGCCCCCGGCACCTCGGCCCTCTTCACCTTCTCGCCCCTGACGGTGAGCGCGGCCGGGCCCAAGCATAAGGGCCACAAGGAGCGGCACAAACACCATCATCACCGCGGCTCCGACGGTGACCCCAGCTCCTGCGTTCCGGGCGATCTCAAACACAAGGACAAGCAGGAAAACGGCGAGAGGACTGGTGGGGTGCCTCTGGTCAAGGCCCCCAAGAGAGGTGAGAGCAGACGAACTGCGGAGCCTGGGCTCTAGGTCTCTCTCAGCACAGACAGATATTCCGCCCCTTTAGCACCGAAACGCCAAGCCCCTGCCTATCTCTTGCTGCTGTGCTCCCCTAAACCCACTGGGGTGGACTGGGTTTCAAATTGTTGACACGGTCTGACCTACTTGAGGCTTCTCGCTTCCAGGCCGAGCTGTCAGTTACTAACCCCCTCACCAGGCCCCCCACCCTCTCCTCCCAGAGCCTGCGTTTGTTTTCAAATTCGGCAGGGTTTCCGCGCGCTGCGGTCCTTGGCGTGGGATTAGTAGGCGAGGTACTGAAAACTGCCTTTCTGAAGTAAAGGCTCGTCGCTGAAATCCTTTCTTCCAGTTTTCCTTGATGGTCGCTTTAATATTCACTCTCCTCTGCTCCAAAATCTTCCCGGGTGTGGTTTGGGGCTCTAATGAGTTTGAATGTTTAGATAGGTTACTCTGCTCACTGATTGCCTTAGTTTCTGCAAGATAAAATATCAGCCGCAGTTTATCTTCGTGGTTTTTTAAAATCGGGGGGTAAAAATAATTTTTAATGTTTATATTAGATCTTACCTCTCAGAAAAGGAATGGGGAAGGGTTTCTCTCCCCTTTGATCCTAGGAAATAGGACTAACCGGGCCCCTAAAAAGTGGTAAGTGTGCAATGGTAGATGTTAGAGGCGACATTTCCAGTGGCATTTTATTTTGTCTGGCACAACAAATTGAGAATTTATTTAATTCCAATAACCCTGATTAAAGTCGAGAATATTTAACCCAGAAAATGTAGGACTACCTAATTAAATGTGGGTTCTAGAGAAATTAGGGTAGCCAAGATTGGTGTCTTCCTATTTTCAAGTACCTATAGCCTTTGTTTATATTCTCTGTAGAAGAAAGGGGGAGGGGGCTATATGAATTTTGATTTTTGTCATGAATTTTACTTTTTAAATTATTTTATGTAATTTTTTAGTTGTTTCTTCTCAAGAAGATGTTAAGATACTTTTGTGTTTCTTAGTACTGGGCCAGTTAGGTTAATGAACCAGTTTTCCGATCTAAAGTTTTGTGAGTCTTGGATTCCTTCACAAATTTGGTTTTAGGCTAAGACTAAGACTAATGTTAATCATTTATTTACTTATTTTGGGTGCTACTTCCAAATAGTACAGTTATTGCAAATAATTGCTCAATAGTATTTACTGAATTCATCAGTTCAGTCTTTCTTCCTTTTGTGGTATCCAGATCTTAGCCTCAGGAATAGAACTTGTGCCAGACTGACTGGAGTGCCAGTTTCCACCATCAATATTCAGTAATCTTGCTCATTTATTTTTACCTTTTTTTCTCACCTTACTTCATATGTGTGTTTGTATTAACCATATAGAATTAGAGGTAATTTTAGAGGTCATCCATTTAAAATTTGTATAGTAAAAGAGGAAAAAACTAAGGCCCAAAGTAATGCCAAGTACAAATATTTTAAAAATTTTTAAATGAATCATTGGCCTAATAGAGGGTAGAACCCAGAGCTCCTGCATCCCAGTTCCAGCTTCATCCCCCCACTGTGCACTGTTGCTTTCTCTTTCTGCTATTCATTTATCCACTTCTTTTTAAGAAATATCTTTTTATTGATTTTTAGAGAGAGAGGAAGAGAGAAGGAGAGAGAGAGAGAAATATTGATGAGAGAAGAACATCCACTGGCTGTCTCCTGCACGCCCCCTACTGGGGATCAAGCCTGCAACCTGGGCATGTGCCCCAACAGGGAATCAAACCGATGATCTCTTGGTGCATGGGTCAATGCTTAGCCACTGAGCCCTACACTCTGGGGGTTTATCCACTTCTTTGCTTACCCTTTCTTTTGGCATTGTCCTGTATACCAAAACGGTTTCGGGTACATACCATCAGGTCTCATACCTAGGTTGCAGGTTCGATCCTTGGTCAGGGCAGGCATGGGAGGGAAACTGTCCCTGTGCCCTGACCAACCAGAATTGAACTGGCCACCTTTCAGTGCACAGGACAACACTGAACCAACTGAGGCACAATGGCCAGGGCACATACTGGCATTTTAATAGTTCTGAGAACCCTACAGAAAATAACCTGGTTTAACCTTGTTTAATCTAGGTTCTGCCCTGGCCGGGTAGCTCAGTTAGTTCTAGTGTGGTCCCC